TTGTTTTTTTGTTTTTTTGCATGTTGAGGCTGGAAAGCAAGGCCTTGAGCATGGGTGTGCTCCTGACTACACACCCCAGCCTAACCTTTTTTTATGATGGACAGTAAATAGTATGAAGAAAGAGCCAGGCCTAAAGGCATGGGACTTACCACACAGCTGTTCAAGAGGCCTGAAGTATTGCAAGTGAAAGGCCAGCCTGGGCTACAGAGTGTGATCAAAGCTTGGAAAATTTATCTAGATCCTGTCTCTATAGAGTGTGATCAAAGCTTGGAAAACTTATCAAGATCCTGTCTCAAACAAACAAATAAATAAATAAATGGGAGCCAGATAGTGGTGTCTCGCCTTTAATCCCGGCACTCAGGAGGCAGGGGCTGGTGGATCTCTGTGAGTTTGAGGCCAGCCTGGTCTACAGAGGAAGTTCCAGGACAGCCAGGGGTATACAGAGAAACCCTGTCTCAAAACAAACAAACAAAACAAAACAAAACAACAACAACAAAAAAACCCCTAAAAAACAAGAAACCAAAAATAACATAAGGCAAACAAATAAATAAAATAGAAACGGATTAGAGATAAAGCTTGATAGTATAGTCCTCACCTCAAAAGTGTGCCCTATCTAATCTAATCTTCAGGACAGCGTGGGGTGGGGGTGTGCCCTGGGGTGGGAGGATGGAATCAGGAGTTTAAGGCCAGGCTTTGCTCTATAGGAAATTTGGGGTTTGAGACCAAGTTTCAGGTTTAGATCTTATCTAAACTCTTTCTCAAAAAGAGAGGGAGAGAGAAAGGGAAAACTTAAACAACTAGTCAAAATCAAATCAAGTGAACCCAGGACATGCCCAATTATGCACTCAGCCCTGGGCTCCATCTCTGCAAAACCCACACCCTCTTCTTGCTCTGATTCCCGCTGAGAGGAAACTCTACCATTCATGTTCTTCACTGCCAAGCCTGTCTCCCCCTTCTGTGCCCCCCCCCCAGTTTGGCATACAAGGCCTAGGGCATTTCTCCTAATCCCTGTGACCAATGCTGTGTTGATCTGACTCAGCACAGAGGCAGGGGAGCTGGTGCTAGCCTTGGCACCGCATTCCTGGACAGTCCCTGCTCCCACTGCTTCCCACCGGGTCTCCAATTGCCAGGGCAGCTCAACATCTCCAGTTAGCCTCTGCCTGCCTGCTTGCCTGCTTGCTTGGTGGAGGCCAAACTGCCACTTAGTAACTTTTACAGGCCTGAGTTTGGACAGAATTCTTGAGTCAGACCCAACAGACCAAACTAAGGCTTGAAGCTGTGTCACCCCACTAGGGCCTTGACTTACAGATTTGGGGCCACAGGAAATGAGATTCTGGCGAGCGAGGTCCATTTCACAGAAGTGAAACCCTCCATTAGTATTTTCTACATATTTAGCCTTTTCCATCACACCCAGAACAAAGACGGAAACCAGATTACCCACTGAAGATGAGTTATAGAGCGCTTGACTAGCAATTCTGAGGCCTCCAGTTGGCTCCTTTCCCAGCACATCAAAGACAAGGAAATGAAAAACCAAGATGTTTACTGTTGTGCCCAAATTCTGAATCCCAAAATCACCAATAGACCCAATCCTATACAAAAGCTAAGACTTTAATTAATTAATGAGTTAACTGTATTAACTCAGGTCCTCCGTCCAACAAGGCAGGTGGAGCGAGAAGGACCCAGAGGGACCCTGGGGTACGGAATTGATTAGGGTGGAGCAAGGGCAGTGTGTGGGGTCTGCAACAGTTCAGGATTGGTGCACTTCCCAGTTTGGACAACCTGTACTGTATTGATTGGCCAGGAATGGTTGCTATGCTCAGAGATCCTCCCAGGGCAATTGCTCTGCTCTGTACTCCACTCTTAATTGTAAAGCACACCCAGAGCCCTGCCTGCTAACTTCTGATTGGTTCCTTGCCACATGGAGGGTATCTGGCTTCCTAATGACTATAAGGTTGGTCTAGGTTGGGGAAGGTCAGAAACTCAGCACATGCTGCTGAGTCAGAGGCCTATATCTTGCTGGATCCTTTCTGCAGCCTGCCAAAGCAGGGTCCCTTTATTTACCAACCACATGTGCTTGTTTGCCTGTTTTCTTTTAAATGTATACTTTTTGTGTCTGTGACTGTTTTACCTGCTTTTAGTGGACCACGTGAGTGCTTACTGCCCACGGAGGCCAGAATAGGGTGTTGGCTCCCCCAGAACTGGAATTGTGATTGTTGAGAGCCATCATGTGGGTGCAGGGGCCCTGAGTCCTCTGCAGGAGCAACAAGAGCTTTTAAGGGCTGAGCCATTTCTCCAGCCCCTTTGGAACCATCACATTAAAACACTGTCTTGGGGTGAAGGTTTATAGGTACTGGCTGTTCTTCCAGAGGACCAGAGTTCAGCTTCTGGAATGCACGTGTTGCTGCTTGCCATGTCTGGCTTTTACATGGGTGCTGGGCCAGAATTCAGGTTTTCAGGCCTTCAGTAATCAGCATTTTACCTACAGGCACTGTCCCAACTCAGAAATATATCTAAAATGTTTCTTAGATTTAGTTTATACAGGTGACTGTTTTGCCTAAGTATATGTATGCGTACCACATGTGTTCCTAGTGCCTGAGAAAATCAGAAAAGGGCTTTGGATCCTCTGAACAAGAGTTATAGCCAATTGTAAGCCAAGGATGCTGGGAATCAAACCTTGGAGCTATGGAAAAGCAACAAGTGCTCTTAACTGCTGAACCACTTCTCTAGGATACAGATTGTCTGATGGTGTTGTGGCATATGCCAGTATACTGGAGGCAGAGGCAGGAAGCTCACAAGTTCAAGGACTGACTGGTCTCCATAGTGACATTGTCTCCTAACCAAAATAAAACAATCCAGGGTTAGGTGTGTGGCTCAGTGAGGGGTACAGCACTGGCCCAGCATGCCTGAGACACCAGGTTCTATTCCAAGCACTGTGGGGAGGGGAGAGCAGGGGGCGAACTCTGGGACCTGGTGTGCCATGGGGTGTGGTGAGGAAGGGGTCTGGATTATGACGGCTCCAGTGCCTGCCTCTGGGAGGAGGGAGGAGGGGTCTTAAAGAATCATCTATTGTGTCTTTGGCTCTGCAGAAGGGAGGTAATGTGGTCTCTTGCCCCTTCACCAGTCTCACGGGCTAACATTTTGAGAGTCATTTCCCCTTTCTCCCACTACTTCTCTGTCTCTCTCTCTCTTGTGTGTGTGTGTGTTAAGTTTGATCACTCTGTGTGTCTTTCTTTTAACAGGGTTTGATCATTCTGTCTTTCTATTAGCAGGGTCTTGTTAGGTGTCTTACTGTCAATCATCTTTCCTCAGACCCTCCCCCTTGCCCTCCCCTTCTGCAGGCCAGTGGATGGGCCTGTGTATGTCCATGGGGCAACAATGTGGTTACTGACTAGGGCAATGAGTTAACATCAACTGAAGTTCCTGTACCAACCACGTCAGGTAACAGACAGCCTAGGAGGGCAGGCTCTCTCTTTTTCTTAATTTTTTTCTCTTAGATTTTAGTTTTATGAGTGTGTATGAGTGTTCTGTCTGCATGTGTATATGTCAGAAGAGGGTATTGGATCCCTGGAGCTGGAGTTACAGACAGTTGTGAGCCACCATGTGGGTCCTGGGAGTCAAACCCAGGTCCTCTGCAACAGTAACAGTTCTCTTAACTGCTGAGCCATCTCTCCAGCATGAAGAGAGCTCTTTTTCATGGAAGAAGTGCAGGTAATAAATGAGGGGCAAAAAAGAAAAAAAAAATAAAAAATAAAAACCTCAAATTTGCAACTCCATGAAATAATGGAAACAGATAACGCATCCCAGGATGGAGCTGTTGCTTGGGAGGGTTACGGGTGAAACTTACAAAGATGGTTGTGTCACCTAACCCTGTGCTCTGTCTCTACTGGGGACAAGCAGGCTGTGTGAGCATGAGGGAGCAGTGGGCACCATGGAAGCCATGGAGGAGTCAGACTCTCCCCAAACCTTCCTGGGCTTCACAGCTGCAGCACAAGAGATGGAGAGAAATCCATAGACGGCCATCCCACTGGACCTGTTTCTATCTGGAACTAAAACCAAGCAACCAACTGAGCAACCAGAGAGGGGCTAGGGTACCACAGACTAAAGAGCCACAAGAGTCAGCAATCAGGAATAGATTTTGCTTTTGTTTCAAATTATTTTTAGGGGTTTATTTTGCCTGCCTGTCTGTCTACCATGTATGTGCCTGAAGCCTGTGGAGGCCGCCAGAGGGTGTTGGGTTCCAGGACCTGGAGTTACAGGTGGTTATGAGCCACTATGTAGGCTAGAAGTCAGACCAGGGTCCTCTGCAAGAGCAGCCAGCATTCACTTACAGCCACCCTCCTGCCTCTGCCTCCAGAGTGCTGTGATTATATTACCATGTCTGGCTTTCAGTTCTGATTTGATCAGATCTAAGATATTTTTGAGGCATTTGATCATTTGATTAAATTTGAATATTGGTTGGACAGTAGATGCTGCTATTAGTACTTCCTTGAATGTTCAATGACAACAAAATGTTAATTTTTTTTTTTTTTTTTAAAGATTCCTTTAAAAGGAATGGAGGCAGGATCTGACACATCTGTGTATTCCAGGCCAGCCTGGACCAGTGTGAGACCTCGATTTAAGCCACAAATAAGCAATAGGTGTGGAGGTCCATGCCTTTAATCCCAGCACTCGGGAGGCAGAGGCAGGTGGATCTCTGTGAGTTTGAGGCTAACCTGGTCTACAGAGTGAGTTCCAGGACAGCTAGGGCTGTTACAGAGAAACCCTGTCTAGAAAAACAAAACAAACAAACAAACAAACCACCCCCAACAGCTCCCTGATACACCTGGACACTTTGGAAAAGCACTATCGAGGGCTGTCAATGTGAAAGTCAGATTTGGTTGACCGGGTTCTGTTTCCTAAGCAGTAAGTGGGACCAGTCCCTCTCTTAACCTCATTCCCATCTCAACAGGGTTGGTAAGGCAGTCCAGGTGTGAGTGGACAGAACCACAGACCACAAATGCTTTTTCTCCATTATTAAAAATTTTAAGTTACAAATATTTTGATTTATAAATAATCAAGGGTGTGTGTGTGTGTGTGTGTGTGTGTGTGTGTGTGTGTGTGTGCGCATGTGCGTGCCTGCCTATCCATCCTCTGAAAATACATTCTGCCCTGGACATTTTCAGCAACCCTGTTCACATCTCTTACCTGCCTCTCCCCGGGTTCATATTTGTTGAATACTCCAGGGACCATCCCTGCCCCAATCCTGTCCCAAAAAGGAACAGCTCCATTGTCCTGGGAGAGGAGATGGGGCTAAACCCAGCCTCCTACAAAGTGCTCCTGTCTGGAGGCAGCTGGGCCTTCATTAAGTCCTAACAGAGTGACTTCCCTGTTAAAGAGAAATTACTTCTGCAAAAGGCTAGAGTCCCGAGGAAGAGCTGTGTTTCAGGCCCCCTCCACAGACCCTCTGGAGAGCCGTGAGGTCAGAGTCTGGGACTTGGTGTCCTTAGGCATGGTGCTCAGAGGGTGCCGTAGACGCTGATTTTGACCATGGAAATGCTCTCGGTGTACCGGTTCAGGCCTTTCTCGTACAGAACGAACAGCTGCGGGGGCTGCTGCTCTCCATCCGTGCTGTTTTCCAGAGCTGTCAGGGATGAGTAGCCGCTGGGTCCTGGCCACACCTGGACTCTCTCTTTCTGCCAGGATGTACCATTGCTGAAGCTCCAGCGCAGGGTCAGGTTCACTCCTAGGAGAGCAAAAGTCAGAGCAGGGAGGGGTGCATCTCTGCTCTGTCCAGGCCTTGATTAGGCATGGCACCCCCCCACTCACCCCACCCTCAGGCACTCACGGAACTCAGGATGGGCTGGATTGGAGAAGAAGACAATGCCTGAGCTCGTGGCTACTGCCCCTGCTGCTACCACAGGGTCCACCAGCTCGGGGTCGAAGGTCACATCCCGGGGCCTGAGGGTATCACAGGCATCAAAGCTGCGGAGAACGATCCTGCAGCGGCAGTGGTAGTTGTTCTGGTTCCGGGCATTGATGATGACGGAGCCATCCGGAAGCTCATAGGGCTAAGGGGAGAGAGCAGGGCCTCGGGAGAGCCTAGGGAGGCTGGGGAAGCCAGAGCTGGGTCTTTGGGTGAAAGGCATTCTGGGCATGGCGTAGGCTGTGGGCGAGCGAGCTCCCACCGACTCCCCCTCACCTGACACTCATCGGGGTTGAAATCGTGCTCATGCTTGGGCTGGCCAAAAGGGATGCCGCTCACTCCGGTCCCGTAGTGCCAGGAGGCACCGTGGTCATCGCTGAGGAGGCAGAAGACGCCATCTCGCTCCAGCGTCCCGTGTCCACACACAATTAGCCGGCCCTTCCGAGGTTCCCGCTGTTTCTGTGAGAAGAGGATGAGGCTGTCAGAGGGGTTGGTACCATGGGGCTCAGTCAGAGAGGGTGCCTCCAAGGCGTGAGGACACTCCTGGGTCCCTTTGGTTCTCCCACAGACACTGATGACAGAGTCAAGAAGCCTGTTTTTTGTATCAGGCTTGTAATCCCAGCCACTGCAGACTGAGCCCAGAAGATAACGCCCAGGCTAACCTTTAACTCACAGTGATGTCCTTGCCTTAGGTTTTGTTCTTAAATAAACTTTTGGCCAGCATACAAAGAAAGGGGTTTTGGTGTGACATTTTCATACATGCATGTGTCATGCTTGGTACTCATGCCCTCCCCAGAACATACCATTGGACATGCATGCCCAACCAGCCTTGGGAACTTCACACTAGTTTCTGAGCTTGTAGACTCTGCTGGACACTGGGCACCACGACAAAGGTATGTGTCTGCCCAAAGGGTACCCAATTCTACCCTGCTCAGTCAAGCTAAGGACAAATCTATTGACAACCTCCATGTGGGAAGCAGAGTTCATCTTCCCCACAGGAGGGTGTTCTTTCCTGATACCAAACTTCTCCTCACAAGGAATACCACTCAAGAAAAATTCTGGTTCACAAGGTCTTGCCCACTTCCCCTAACCCCAGGATAAAAACCTGAATGCCAGAGCCTGGACCAGGGGCAAACATCTCTGTGCCGATGTCCACTGAGAGATTCCGGGGCACACTCCAGGAAATGCCGTCATCCTTACTCCACACCAACATGGTGGAGGCCACCTGGCAGTTGACTTTGTGAGCACAGAGGGTATAGACAAGGAATATCACCCCTGTGTCCACATCGTTCACCACAGCCCCCAGGTTCAGGCCATCAGAGGCCTCCCCGTCGTCTACAATGAAGGCTGTAGAGGACCACGTGCTACCTGGAAAAAAAAAAAAAGACTACAGTAAAATTGTACTGTTTCTTGTCCACTTCCTGTCTCTCCCCAGGGTCCTTAAGGAGGCACCAGGACCCTGTTACTTCTTCCTACTCGCTCCATATAATTCTCACCCCCAGTGAATTATGAGACCACCCCTGGGTGGTCGCAGTTAGTACCCTAGACACTTTCTCCCTCGGGTTTCCCTAATTCCTTAGGGACTCAGGCCTCTGAGTTCTATCTGGACGGTGGGGTTGGACTGGTGACGGAAGCCCCCTACTCCCTATCTTGGTCCCCCCCTGCAACCCACTTTCCACCCGGGAACTTTTGTACCCTGGTCCGTGGACCTTCTCATGGCAATGAACTTGGCCCCCTCATCGGAGGCAGACTTTTTCCTGGCCTCGGCGAAGGCGAGCAGCGTGCCCCGAGGGGTGGCTGTGATGAGCGGGATACGGAAAGTGTCTACCGCTCCGATCTGCTTCCCGCTCACCCACAGCAGCTGCTCCATGGTCACCAGCGGTTGCACCTGTGTGGAAGGACACCCTAAAGCAGGCAATCTAGACATGGGCTCCAGCTCGGGTTCCCATGAGAGAGGGTGATGGGAGCCTGAGCAGGGGTGAGGGGTGTCTGAACAAGAGACGGGGGTCCGGAGGAGAGTATGGGCGGAAGCCGGAGGTTCCGGAGCAGGGGAAAGGATGCGAGGGGAGAATGAACCTTCAGGGGTGGGCGAGGACCCGAAAAGGAGCCAGGGGCTCAAAAAAGTTAAGAAGATGGGCGCAGGAGTGCCGCTCGGAGATGTGGGCGAGCGCGCCGGGGTGTGGGTGGGGGGCGGGAACAGTGGCCACCTCTGCAGGTGCATCAGGGCTCACCAGACTGAAGTCATCTTGTATCCTGGCCTCGGACCCTGCCACGGACACCAGCAGCAGGGAGATCGCTGCGAGCACCTGACCCCGACGGCTCGCCCAGCAGCTCAGCGGCCCCCGGGGTCTGCTCGGTTGTGCCGCCACCATTGCTTCCCCGATGCCCGTCCACGAATTGGTCACCCTCAGCAAGCTGTCAGCTGACCCCCCGGCACTTTAAATGCGCGCACGTCACTCCCCTCGTGGGCCGCGGCCCGCGCTGCTGAGACTCCAATTGGTCCTTGTAGCTGTCCGACTTCAGCACGTGACTGAGGAAGCGGGCTCAGTCTGTATGAGCTTCTTGATTGGCTCTGATACCCGGAACGCGACAAAGGGGCAGAGTCTGTTTTAAAGCAACAGGCGGCGACGAAGGCACCAACTCCCCGTGGAAGGGCTAAAAAAAAAAGCATGTTAGGGACAGCAGTGTGACTCAGTTGGTAGAGTGCCTTCCTCATTTGCAGGAAGCCCTCAGTTCAATCCCTGCCATTGCCTAAGTCTGGTGTGGTGGTGCACACCTTACATATAAATAAACATAATATATAATATAAAAAAGAGTCACCTGGGGTCGGGGAGATGGCTCAGTGTAAAAAGTTGTACACTTGAAGACAGGAGCTCAGCAAGCCAGAGGGCAGGACTCTGTAACTCCAAACTTCATTTAAAAGCTGGGCACGTACAGAACCCATTCTGTTTGGCACCACGCCCTGCTTATTTTACTTATTTTAAAATTGTTTATATGTGCCAGGCAGTGGAGTGGTAGTGCACCACACACCTTCAGTTACAGCACTCAGGAGGCAGAGGCAGGCAGATCTCTTGTGAATGCAAGGCCAGCCTGGTCTACAGAACAAATTCCTGGACAGCCAGGGATACACAAAGAAACCCTGTCTTAAAAAACTTAAATAAAAACAAGCAAATAAATAAATAAATAAAATAAAATGAACAGTTGCCCAGATTGTTGGAGACATGTTACCTTATTTGAACCCCCTCCACACGCATGCTCGCATGCTCGCTCTCTGTGTCTGTCTCTCTGGTTCTTTTGAATCAAGGACTCACCCCGCTCCACCTGGCCTTGAATTCACTATGGGATCATGAATGACCTGGAATTCCCATTCCTCCTACCTCCAGCTCAAAAGTGCTGGGATTACAGGCATGAGTCCCAAGGCCATGTTTATGCAGGCAAAATCTGGGGGTCTTCCCTTGCTATGCAGCCGCTCGCTCTACCAGCTAAGGGACGCCCCCAGTCTCCTAGCCTCAGCCCCTTATAGAACCATGTAATAGTAATAAAAGAGAAATGAGTATGAACTGAAAATAAAACCATACTTATTGAGAATACAAAATATTAATCTTTAATAAAATCTGTTTGTTATAAAATTGTGATTCTTCAGGCATGTATGGCTGTTGTTCTGTACAGGAGGGCTGCAGTCCCCGGGTCACAACCCTGTCTCTTATTTCTTTCTCTTCTTTCCTGCAGGAGGTATTTCATTTTTCTTGCCCAGAATCCTCAGAAGTGCCTTGGGCATGTAGTAGGGCCGTTCCTGGGAGCCATCATTTCTTTCCAGATCTTCCACTGAGTAGCGGAGTAGATAGATTAGATTGGATCCTGATAAATGGTACCCTGTTGCACTCCAGAAATAATCTGGGCTGAGTAGATCAAATAGCCTGGTTTCCTGTCCAAACTCCTTAAGACAGTCTTATAAAACCTGCCTGGCAGACTATATAACCTGTTTCTGCATATGAAGTGTATAAATAATCATATGTTTCACAGGGTAACACCAGAATAAAGAAAAATTACATGTCAGTTCATCATGGTGGCCCACAGTGGCTTCCTTCGTCTGTAATCCCAACATTTAGGAGGTGGAGATGGGAAGACTTAGAATACAGGGCCAGCCTGAGCTACACAACAAAACTGTCTGGGGAATGGTAGTGCATTTCCATGAGTCTAGCACTTGGGAAGCAGAGGCCAGAAGACTGGGATTGATCCAGCCTGGTCTATACAGAGAGTTGGAGCCAGCCAAGAATACATAGAGAGGCCCTGTGTAAATAAATAAGATTTAACAAAGAAACAAAACCATAAAACAACAACAAAATGGCTGGGGGAGGAGCATAATGGTAGGGCATTCCTGTTTGCAGGCACAAAACAATACCACAATTTCCAGCACTTGGGGAATACTGAGGTAGGAGGATCATGAGACTGAGCCAGCCTTAGCTATAGAGTTATTTCCAAGTCAGCCTGTGCTACATAGTATGATCCTGTCTCATCCTGCATGTCCCCTCCCCCTAACAAAAGCCTAAATAAAAGAAGGAAGAACACACACACACACACACACACACACACACACACACACTATGACTACCTCCAGGGAAATGTTTTGTGGTTAACATCTTCCTCCATTTCCTAGCCAGGCCTCTGTCCAAGAAGGTTCCTCTCTGAGAATGTCTGGGGTTTGTTCCCTTCTTTCCTCCCCAAACTTCTAGCCTTAGAATGTCTGAAGATATTCCCTCTGGCTCCTTTAGTTCACAAAGCTACCAACAACCAGTCTCTAAGAGAAGCCTGAAGAGTCAAGAGCTTGAGGGTGGGGTGGGGTTTGGTAGGGGGACACTCACGGAAGCAAAGGAAGAGTGTATCCACACACATGCCAAAAACATTGAAGAAGCCACTGGCGATGACATAGGCCCCCATGACCGAGGTCTGCAAGAAAGAAGACAGATTGGGACCCCTAGGCTCTAGGGACTTGGGTGAAGCAGAGAGAGGTGTCACTCACCATGATGGGCAGCCAGTAATAGTTGAGCTGGGGGTTCTCAAAGTCTTTCCCCAGCCCCTTGATACGACCGGAGAAAAAGAAGAAAGACAGGACACCTGTGTGGGCAAGAGTCCTGGGTCAGTGCTGCTTCTCTGTGGACATCCCTTTCTGCAGAGAGTGCCTGACTGTAAACCCTGATCGGGCCCTTACCGACACCTCCGACCACCAGCAGCTTTCCGAAGAAGAGCAGCAGATCTGTGACTTTATCCAGGACAACTACCCTGCAGTGAAAGGCAGGGCAGCCTGGGGTAAGGGTCTGGGAACAGTGACATCTGTCACCGTTTCAAGATGGTGACAGTGGAGCTGTGGACCAAGGATGGGACTCTGAGTAGAGTCCGTCCACGAGGCCAGCTTAAGGATGGGAGATCTGGGTAGGAGGCCCCAGAGCAGACTGACCTGACAACGTTCCTCATGAGCAGCATGAAGGCATTTTTGGCTGAGACACAGAAATTCTTCCCATAGATGGCGATCTGAGAGGAGAGCAGGAGAGGTCAGAGCCACACACTCCTGGTCAGCTGGCCCACATGTTGGTGGAGCCTGGGCAGACAAGTGCAGAGCAAGGGCTGCTTGAGGCTCTGCTCACCATAATGTAGGCGTTGCGGTTGAGAAACTTAATAAACTTCTCCAGACACCAGAGGCAACACTTGAAGCAGCAGATGATACATCGGGCCACAGGATTTTGGGATCCTGGGAACAAAGGAAGCCGGCACTTAGCCACTGGTTTTTGCCTGCCTGGCTGGGCCTCTTCTAGACTCCAGCAGCTCAGCTTGTCCCCTGCAGCCACTGCTGCCCACTCACCTCTTAGCTTGTGATCAATGTATTCCAGGATGATCCGGGCTATCTGCACCAGGGTCAGGATGAGGGCTCCAAATGCCAGTGACCCAGTGTGGTAACTGCAGAGGATATTTGGGTAAGCTGAGGTACCCCCACACCTCCTGGTATTCCTAGGGCTAACATTTCCCTAGGGGACAGCCCCTGGCTTACCGCAGTGTTCGGATGAAGGCTGAGCTCAAAGGGAACGTAGGGATGTCTCGTGGCTTATGAAAGGCCCAGTAGAAGGAGGCAAAGGCCCCAGCAAGGACACACTGACCCAGGGCCAGCACCCAGTTAATGGTCCAGAAGAGCCCCAGGACCCCATAGATTTGCAGGTTGAAGAGAGAACGCTGGGCTAGGCCTGTGGATGAGTAGCCCTGGAAGATACACTTAAGCCCTGGGCAGGAGGAGTTGACCGGGGCCTGGAAGGGACAGGGAGGACACAGCCAGTTCAAGCACAGGAGTTGCAGGAAGATTTTGACCTTCCCTGTTCCCAGTAGCCTCCAGGATCAGATCATCTCAGTTTTGCCATAGTGTGACTAACCAACTTCCTGGTTTCCAGAATGGCACAAGAGCTGTCTAGAATGCCTCGGGCAAGCCCATTGTGTGGGTGGTTTTACGGTTTCAACGGTTTCAACCTGTCCTTCATCTTACTTCCCCAGCAACCTGTTCTAGAGAAGCCTCTACAGCTGCTGTCTAAACACCATGGGTATTTAAAGACATTAAATAATTAAGCAATTTTATTGGCTGTAGAAACAAAACAGTGTTGTGTGTGTATTTATGTGTGTGCATGTGCATGCATACATATGCTTGGCAGTGTTTTACTGGGGATTGTACACTAGTCCTCACACATCTTACAAAACCCATACACAATCTGAGCTTCATGTCCAGCTTCATGCCTTAGACCTCCTTTTTCTCCTTTCTTCCTATTTTTAGTGTAGAAGCCAGGGCTTCAGGAACAAAAGACAATGTCTTACCACTGACCTAATCCTCAGGCCCTGATTTTTAACCATCTGTTGAGGGGTTGAAGAAGTTTATCAGTTGGTAGCATGCTTGCCTAGCGTGCACAAAGCCACCACATAAGACTCTGCATGGGGGCGGGGCAGGGACACACCTATAATCACAGCACATGGGAGGTAGAGACAGGAGGATCAGAAGTTCATGGTCAGCCTCAGTCACTTAGCAAGATCCAGGCCAGCCTAGACTACATGAGACCGGGTCTATAAATAGATAAATAAGGCCGGACAGTGGTAGCGCATTCTTTCTGGAGTCCCAGCACTCAAAACCAAAAAAAAAAAAAGCAAAAATCCCCCTTCTCTCAACAGACCACTGTGGATTTGTGGCAGCCTTTACTGTTAGAGGATGAGGAGAGTGAGGAGGTACAATGGAAAAGCAGAGCGCAGAACATAGTGGGTCTTTCATAAGTCTAAATGGGCCTTCTCTCCCTTTTGTGCACAGGGGTTGTTTTTGAGGCAAGGTCTCTCCTTATGTAATTCAAGATGGTCTTGAACTGGAAATCCCCACTCTTAACCTCCAGGGTGCTGGAATAGGAGGTTTTCCTGCATCTGCATCTGTTGCCTGGCTTTTGTTATGCTCACTTTTGCTTTTTAGAGACAGCCTGGCCTCAGACTAGCTGTGCAACAGAGACTGGTATAGAACTTAACTCCTGAGCCTCAGCCTCTCAAGGGCTGGAAAAACAGGCCTTCTAAGTTCCTCTAGGCATTGCTCTGGTGGGCATTCCAGGGCCACTGTCTGGGGCTCTGTTCCTGGGACTTGAAAAGGGTCCATCCGGTTGGAGTCACTGTCAGTGTGCAGGAATTATACATAGCATCAGATGTACTGAACGTCATTAAAGCCCCTGCGATTAGGGTCAGCTCCAGTTTACAGAGCAGTGGGTGGAGATCCCTGAGGCGCAAGTATTGAACAGCCTTGGAGGCAGAGAAAGGTCCTTCGTGCTACTCAGCCCTCCCACTTGCTTCTGGGATCTGCACTTCAACTTCTTCAAAATGGATGGATAGCTCAGTCATAGAACTGAGGGAGGTTCCGTCCAGCGAGCGTCCTGGCCCTCTCAGGTACTTCTGCATGAGAGGAAGTCTGGGCTAACTGATCCCCAAGACCCCCTCCACACCCACCCTGCTCCCTCTCACCATGGGGTCACAGGACTTGTTCACAGGCGTGTTCTCACAGTCGGGGGTGCTGGTGTTGTTCACCCAATAGATGTACTGGGGTTGCCCCGATGTGGCCAGGTACCCAGAGATGAGTCAAGAAAAGCATAATACCAGCTGTTAATCACAGGGCACACCCAAACAGCTCCCCCTGGGACTGGTGCAGTTTGCTCACCACATACAGAGGGCTGGCATTCAACCCTGCTCACTGTAGCAGCTCAGCCCCCTCACATTCCCCACCTGGGACCTGTCCTGTCCCCCCCCCCCCCCCAAGCTCCAGCGGGGGCTGTACAAAGGATACAGAGCTGTCAGGGCCCAGTAACCGATGCAAATGACCAGGAGGACAAAGGTGACCAGAGGGTAGAACATAGTGGACATCATCTGGCCCACAGCCCTGTAGGGAGACAAGAACACTGGGGCCTAGGCCTGTGTATCCATCCACTCCCAGGCCTGACCCTGGCTGGACTCCTCCTCTAGCCTGTTTCTGTCTCCAGGCCAGAAACAGGGAACTACTATAGCGTTTGCCTTCCACATCCCCAGCACCTATTTCCAGGTGGGGTACATAGTAGACTTGCTGGGTGAACCCAATAAGGCTCAAGGCACCCTTAGAGGAGCCCAGAGTCACAGAAGACACCTGGGAAGCCCAGGGAGTGTAAGGGAAGAGAACCCACAGAAGGTGGCTGGCCCCTCCAGTCCACTTGGCAATGTTTGCTTCTCCTACCTCACCTCCTGCCACCTGACCCAGCGAGTACCTCGACTCCCACCTATGCTTCCAGAGTCCCAGGCCATGTTCTTTGTACTTAGTCAACACCGATGCATTCATTCCTCACAATGTCCTTACAAGATTTAGATTGTTGTTACAACTATTTTACAAATAGGGAGGCTGGGTGTGGTGACACATACTTTCAAACCCAGCACCAGGAGGCTGAGATAGCAGGCCATGAGTTAGAGGCCAGTCTGGGCTATACTGCAAGACACAGCCTCTAAAGAGTGGCAGGGTAGGGGATGACATGGGAGGACTGGGAATGTGGCTTTATTGGTAGGGTGCTTGCCTAACACAAAGGAGACCCTGAGTTAGATGCCAGCATTGCATACAAGAGGCCTGGTGGTACATGTCCACAACCCTTGCATTCTGGAGGATGTATTCAAGGTCATCCTCAACTCTGTATCGAGTTGGAGGCCAGTCAGTGCTGCCCAAGCCTCTGTATAATATCCATCATCACCATAGTGTGCGGGCAGGGAGATCAGGGGTTCAAGGATAGCCTCAGTTACCCAGCTGCTCTGACATTAGGCTGAGCTACATGAGCTCCTGTCTCAAAATAAACAAACTAGGGTGGAGAGATGACTCAGCGGTTAAGAGCACTGGCTGCTCTTCCAGAGGTCCTGAGTTCAATTCCCAGCAACCACTTGGTGGCTCACAACCATCTATAATGGGATTTGGTGCTCTCTTCTGTGCATAGGCACACATGACAGAACGCTACACACATAATAAATAAATCTTAAAACAAACAACAACAACAAAATCCTTGGGGCAGCAGAGATTGCTCTCCTAGAGGACTTGGGCTGACAACTGTTACTCCAGTTCTAGAGGATCAAATGCCCTCTTCTGGCCTCCAATAGCAGCACCAGACATGCATGGTGCACAGACATGCATGCTGGCAAAACACTCATACATTAAACAAAAATAAATCAACCTTAATACACTTTCCTCCCCCACAAATGACAACAGAACACCGGACAAGGAAACTGAGGCCCTAATAAGGTGAAATTTAGCCGCATAACCCACTGAGCAATTCTCCCTTTCTCCTCTGGGGTTCCAATTACCCTATCCAGGCCAGTAACCCGCCTAAGGTCCCCTCTCCCTCACAGGCAGGCCCTGACCTGCTGGCTTCCTTCAGCAGAGCAATGGCAATTCGGATCCGTTGGCGCAGGAAGATGAGCATGAGTAGCAAGACACCCTCAAGGACAGCCAGAATGATTACTGTGTGGGTACAGCAGGTGGTGGTCTAGGGTCAGGGCCAGGGTCACCCGACCTTGGCAGCCAGTGCATAGAGGGAGGGGGTGGGCGGGCGGGGGACTCACGAGCAGCGAGCCAGGTCTCCTGCACACTCTGGTAGGCACTGAAGTTGGTGGTGAAGCCCAGCTGGGAGATGGAGGCGCCCTTGTCCCGCAGCATCCGGTACTGTTGCCAACAGTGGTAGATGCCATAGGCCAGCACAGCTAGCACCCCCACAATCAGCAGCAGCACCAGGGGTGCTGCCACCAGGCGCAGGAGCAGGATAAACAGCAGACTTAGCACCAGAGCCACACCCAGGGCCCTGCAGGTAAGGAACATAAGTGAGGATTGCCGCCCAAGCCCTTCAGAGCCCCCCAAATTCCTTTCCTCGTACCCTCAAGTACTCATAGATTCAATTAATCTTATGTTACAAGTCCTGACTAGCTCAGGGTCCATTCTGAGCTAGTTCCCTCTCTGATCACAGCCTTGGCTTCACACATAGACTTAGGGAAAAGGCGATCACAAAAGGAAGGGCAGAGGGGAAGGAGGGAGGGACTGGATCCTGGGGGAAGCTATGGACTCACATGAGGATCCAATGCCAGGACCGGGCAAAATCTTCAAAGATCTTCACAGAGATGTCCCGGGCATTGATGCTGTCAAGGAGGTCACTGTTTGGAGAAGGATGGAGTCAGATGGGGCTGAGGGTAAGAAAGGACATGGGGGTTATAGAGAGGACAATATCTACCTGATTCCACTAGAGACAGTGGCATTATTGATCCATGGGTACTCGGGTAAAGTGTAGTTAACGTTGGGGGATGGAAAACAACGTCCCAGGGCTAGAAGAGAGAACAGAGTCTGCTGGGTGGGTGTCTGTCTGATCCTCCCATCTCAGAGCATTGTCATGAGAGGTGGTGGTGATGGGTGGGCTCTGCTCTTTTGGGGTGGGGATGCTGCAGTCTGTACACCCTCCCTGCCATTGGTCAGCTGTCCTTACACCCCCGTTGCCTGGATTCCTGCCCTGACCTTGCTTCCCTACTTAGGCCAGGACAGCCATGGCCTCCTCATTCCACAGTTCCCACCATTGGCCCCTCACTTGAATACCTTGCCTCAGCAGGCCCTGTCACGGTCCTGGGTCAGGCTTCCAGGCCCAGGACTCTATGCACGTTCTATAGCTCTGCTCTGGCAGAGATTCTAAGTAACCCCACCCCCTTCAGGGCCTGTGGTCTCACTCTGGGCTCAGTTCCTGCCCCATGTCTACCTCTAGATCTCTAGTTGGGCCTATTATGTGACTGGCTTTTGGACCCACATGTAGCCGAGCAGGTTTGTTTTTATCACTTACGTCCCATAGCTGAGGGAACAAGGCCCAGAAAGATTGAATAATTGACCTGAGATCCATCTGCTGGAAAGTGCTCAAGTTTAAATCCACACCTGTCTGCTCTGGAGTAGCCCTTAGGCACCCTTCCTATTGCATTTGCCTTGAAATTTTGTCTTTTCTATAAAATAAATTAAAAATAAAGGCAGCTGGACATGGTTGTGCCTACCTGTTATCTCAGCATGGGGACAGGCTAAGGCAGGAAGACCACAAGCTGGGAACCAGTTGGGCCACAAAGTAAGATCCTGTCTCTAAATAAACCAAACCAGTTACGTGTGCTGTTGGGAAGAAGTTGTATACGGAAGAAAGGCCAGCTGTGAATGGCCTGCCCAGCCTCCTTCATTTGTAACATTCGATAGATGTCTCAGGTTGCTTTATTCCCCTCAGATTCATTCGTTCATGTATATTTTGTTAAAACAAGACAAAAAACTGTTTTAAGTTGGGCATTGGTGGTGCATGCCTTTAATCCCAATACTTGGGAGGCAGAGGCAGGTGTATCTCTGTGAGTTCGAGTCCAGCCTGGTCTACAGAGCTAGTTCCAGGACAGGCTCCAAAGCAACACAGAGAAACCCTGTCTCAAAAAACAAAACAAAACAACAAACCAACCAACCAACCAAACAAACAAACAAACAAAAAACAGTTTTAGATTTTTCTATTTTGTTTTATTTTTAAGGCAGGGTTCACCATGTAGCCTTTGCTGGCCTGGAACTCACTAAGTGAAAGGCTAGCATTGAATCCATGGATATCCTCCTGCCTCTGCCTCTTGAATGCTGAGACTAACTGTGCCACCATGTCCTGCGTATTTTATTTTATGTGTATGAATGCTCTGCCTGCATGGGTGTATGTGTACCAGTGTAACTCGTGCCTGTGAAGGCCAAAAGAGGGTGTCAGGGACCCTGGATGGTTACGGATAGTTTCGAGGCTCTATATGGTACTGGGAACCCACATATGAGCAGCAAACACACTTAACTGCTGAGTGTCTCTCCAGCCCCACTGTGGACATTTCTGAGAGACCTTCATGAAGATGTTCTTTTGTTACTGTTGCTCTGTTCTGTTTTTGCTGAGGATGGAATCCAGGGCATTGCACAAGCTAGGAGAGCACTTTGCACACCATACATCCAAACAAAACACTATTCCATCTATTTATTGTGTGCAAGTGTGTGTGGGTTGGGCAATGCCTGTAGTGATTAGAGAGTTGGTTGGTTCAGGAGTGCATTCTCTCCTACCATGTGGGTAGTGGGGGATCAAACTCAGGTTGTCAGATTTGGTGGCAAGCACCTTTATGTGCCAAGCCATCTCATCAGCCCTGTTTTATTGCTGTCCCAGGCTGGCCTTCCATAACTCCTGCCTCTGCTTCCTTATTAGCTGGAATCATAGGCATATAGTTGGTCTAGTGCTCATCCGACCTCTGATCTCTCCACCTAGAATGTAGCTCCATCAGGGAGTGGTGTCTACTGTCTCCGCATATGTCCCAGTGTCTGGCATACAGCTGTACAGCAGGTACCAACAGTCTGACTATAGGGTCCTGAGGCAGGGGAATGAAGGCCTGCTGCTCACTCCCGAGACCCCAGTGATAGGCTGAGGGGCTTCTCTTTTTCCAGGCCTGCTTCCTTCATTTGAGGAATGGGAATACTGAGTGAGATGATGCATGAGGGGATGTATATGGTCTCACCTGGGGTAGAAGGAAGAAGGAAACTGGGGCACAGTTCCTGGTGCAGGCTATCCTTCACTGTCTGGGGGTGGACAGGAGACAACAGATAGATACATACATGTAGAAACTGTGGCTCCCAACATCTCTACCACCTCCACCACAATCGCCATCATGACCTCTACCACAACTTCTATTATATCAAGTCTCAGACTGGCCCATCCCTCCTTGGAGACCAATTCCTTCACTATGGACCCTCTTCAGGAACAGTGGTGGACCGGGACCAGCACTTACCATATCTGGGGATACTCCTGGCAAACAAAAGTTCTTCTTTTCTTCATAGACTTCAATGACTGTCTTTGAGAGATGGGCCTCCCCCACAGCCCATGGGGCGTCTGGGCAGGAGGAGACGCACACCTGTGGGTAGAGAACATGCTAAGGAACTGGTACCCAGGGCCTTGGGGACAAGTGGGGCTCACACAGGTCCTGGCTTCTGACCTGGGGTGTGGGGCACTTTAGGCCATTCTGGGCAACAGAGATGATGTTGGTGGCTACAACACAGCTGAAGATGTTGAAGTATAGAACGTAGGGTTTATCCCTGCAGGAAGAGAGGGCATGCAGGTATAAGGGTCTGGGCAGGTGTAGGGCGTCATTCTCTTAGCACACAGATAAACTAGTTACAGCTGGCTCCTGGCCCAGCTTCTCTAGGGAGATAAGGAGGTCCAGAAGACCACCCAGGGTAATTAATTCACCATACAGCAGCCAGTGTGTGGCCCAGAGTATCGATTCTGCAGTATGGACCCTCGTAAGGTAGCTAAGGTAGATTTATGGCCTTGAATGAGGCCTCAGGACAGTATCAACCTCAGGAGGCTTAACAGTTTGGGTGTGAAACACCCCTCCTTCCTGGAACATTGTAATGGTGACAGGAGTGTTGGCAGCTTATTATTTACCGGGCATTTCCTGCATACCTTCTGGAAGCTGCTGCTGCTTCAATGCAGGAAGTTAAAGTTCAGAGAGGCTGAGTAAGCTGCTCAAGATCATACAACCCAAACTTATCCCAGTTAGGGACTCAGACAGTGATGTGTGAACTCTAAACTTATGCACTTAAACTGGCTCTGCATTGTCCCAGTCCTGGGGAGGCTGGGCAAGGGAGGGTTCCAATGTGGGTAGGAGAGCTTGGGTTCCGGGAGGCAGAGGGTCAGGCTGGAGAACAGCAGATGCCAGGGTCTGATGTCTACCGTGGGTGTCTCCTGCCCCCAAGCTGCCGCTTCCCCCCCCCCCCATACTCACTTGTTTTCCCCTATGCCGCAGTAGGCCCCCGTGGAGTTTCTGGGGTAGAGCACTTGCCGAGGGTCTCCGTACACCCAGGCTGGTGACAGGGACACACAACACAATCACAGGAAGGCAGAGACTTGGGGCAGGCAGCCATGAGGTGATCCCTTCCTGGGTTGCTGCCCCTCTCCTGGGTACCAGGAAACTTACCCACAAGCCCCACCACAATGTAACCCAAAATGAAGAGCAGGAAGAGGACACAGCAGATGATGTCTGTGCAGCCCCTAGGGAGAGATGGACGTCTGAGCTGGGGTGTGTGTAGGAATGTGTGGGGAATTTAAGGGTGTAGGTGTGGGGCATAGTCTGGGGAGGTCATGGGTTAGAGGATTGGGGAATGCTAGAAAGACTGCGAGACAGAAAGACAGCGAGCTCGTAAATGTTTTCTGGGGGAATTTTCCCCAAATGTGTACACACCTGAGAAGCTGGCACCCATGTCAAGAACTAGAATGAGCCCAGCATCCACAGTCCCCTCAAACCCCTCTAGATACAGATGCCTCAGTGGATCAGACTCCTGCGGACAAACCCAATACTCCCCACATCCCTGGGTGAGGGTGCCTGCCCACAGCTCACCTGTTTTTGATGGGGCCTCGAAAGGAGGGGTCATATTTGGCTGATTTCCCTAAGGGCGAGGGGGGCAAGAATCAGGCACCGAAGGACTCTCTCCCCACATCCTGTCCCTTCCAGGCATCCTGTAGCCCCAGGAGCCTGCCTGATTGACCAGCAGGGAGGGCAGTAGGGAGTTGGATCCATGGATCTACAGAATCCTGGTCTGCTGGCAGCATGATGGTTGCCTGCTATGGCTTCTACCCTAGCCATATGTAGGAAGCAGAGCCTTTAGTTTTGGTGACACTGGATACCGAATCTACGGCTTCCTACATGCGAGGCAAGCGCCCAGCCAGTAAACGACAACCACGGCCATTTGTCTATATTTTTACTTTGTTTTTCAGACAGGATCTTGCTGAGTTCCCTGAGCTGGCCTTGAACTTGCCATCCTCCTGCTTCAGCCTTTGATTTTTTTTTTTTTTTTTTTTTAATAGGTGTGTGTTTCTGAGGCCATCCAAGTAGAATGCGGCCCTGGTCCTTTGCCCCTTCCCTGGTTAGCTTCTACGAACCCCTTCTCAGTGGCCCTCAGGCCCCAACCTGTCAATCTCTGCTCTGACCCCTTCCCCGGTCCTCTCTGGACCACCCAGTGTTCAGGAGCCCCTGAAGGAACCATTGTCATCCATCTCACTATCTTATCCCTTTGGTCCAAGGATATGACAAAGAAAGCATGTTTTACAGGTATGAAACCCTGCAGGGCACAGGGAGGAAGCAAGAACTCTGTAGACCCTTCACTTGGGCTATTACACAGCCCTGGGTAGCCAGCCAGGTTGACATCTGAGCCAGGGGTTGTGGCCATGTCCTGTTCCTGGTCCTCCCTGAGTACACAGGGAAGGGGGTGGGGCCAGACTGCCAGGGTCCTGGTGAACACTGAAGGAGGGCTGAGGGCTGGGCTAGCCTGGGGCAGGGTGGTATCCGCTTTCTTGGGTATTCTGGACTGTGTCTTGCCCAGGCTTATGGACACGGACAGGGTCAATGATTGACCCAAAGCTGCTCCAGGAAGTTTTCTGTAGTGTGATCTGGCCCTAACTCGGTCCCTTAGGGGACACCAACCCCATTTCGAGGAGGTCCTAACCCTCAGAAGGAGCTCCCTGGTAAGCACTGAAGATCCCCTCAGGTAAGGAAAACCCGTAGCCCTGCTGTTCCCAGTCCACCCTCCTCAGCCCTTGCTTCTCAGGACTTTGGGTAGAGACTTCCAGCCCTTTTACTTCACCAGTCTGGAAACAGATCCTTTGCTTCCTTCCTTTTGGGCCTCACCTTCCACAGCGCCCAGCCCCTACTCCTTTGAGTGTCCCAGGTAGCCCCTGCCCCTTGTTTTTCTTCCCAACTGATACCTTAAGGCAGGCACCAGCCATTTCTCCACCACAGTCCTCACACCCCACCTCTCACAGGGGCTGTGGCAGGCAGACCCCAGCAGGTCAGGGTGCCACCTCCTACTCTTCTCAAGGGACCCCTTAGTCCACAGTACCAGCCCCCTGCTCTTCACAGATCTCTAGCAGGCAGACTCTAACCGCTGAGGGTCCCAGTCTCCCACTTCACAGGAATCCTAGTAGGCTCACTCCACAAGTTTGGGGTCCCAGACTCCTAATCCTCCCAAGAATTTTACTAGTTTAGAGGTCTGGCTCTCTAACTCTTCACACAGACCCCAGCATGTTAAGAGTCCCAGCCACCGGCCCCCACAAGCACCTTTGCTCCTCAGATCCAAAGTGTAAACTGGATTCCCCCAGCTCGCCAGAGCCCCAGCCCTTGTAGGCTCTGAGCACAGGACACTGCTGGACCGAGTTCTGTCCTGAGCAGGAGCTTTAGGACCCCAACCTGTCTCCTAACCACGATGGCTTTGTTTGCCAGGGCCCTGCCCTCAGGGACTTAAGAGTCCAGGCCGGAACCCCACATCTCCCCGCCCCTCTCCCCATACAGAGACCAGGCCCAACACCTGCACACCCAGATCGAACTTCAGTATGCAAGTCTTTTGCTGTGGACCAGGAGGAGACCACCCTCCCAGGACTGAGGTTCCTCTGCCTGAAACCAGCCTCAGCCACCATGGCCTGTAGAGCCACCTCTCTCCAGAGCCCGGGCCTGTAACACCAGCCTTACCGTAAGCCTCATTCTCATCCTGCTTTCCCCCCATGGCTCAGTCTCCGGAGTGATTGGAGCCTGGGAGACCTGGCCGCTCACCTGCCGCCCGCTCCACCCTCCCAGACGTCATAGCTCCACCCCCGCCTGTGGTCCCCGACACACTCTAGTTCCTTCTTCTGATTTCAGCTCTGACCAGCCATCGTGGTAACTGGACCTTAGAAGCAGCTCGCCTGGCTCGTGACCACAGCAGGAAGAACCTGGAGTATGTTGATAGAAGACTCTTCATGAATTTTCAAAGTATCTCAGCTGTGGCATACCCAAGTGTCAAGGTTTTGATTTGCCTTTTATTTAAACCCCTGACAGTGGCCCCCCACAGCCCTTCAATCCCACCAGGTGGCAGACAGCAACTTGCTTTCTAGGACTTTGTCCCCCTCAGCCCCACAATCCTGTCATTCTAAAACATCCACCAGACAGTTTATTATCAAACCCAACATTTATTGAGAACACAGAGAATCAGTTGGCAGAGAGGCCCAGCTTCAATTCGGCAAACTGAGGCCTGGCTCAGTGGAGTGTGGCCAGCCCTGAAGTCACACTCCCAGTGAGAAACCAGCTCTGGGGGGGGGGGGGGGGGCTGTGGACATTCCAGGAGGAATGTCTGAACGGCAGTGCCCCAGCCTGGATTTTAAGAGTCCTCAGGTGTTTATGGGAGGCAAGGAGCTAAGTTCAGGCAGCAGCTCAGGGTGGGGGTCCAGCCTAGCCAGGCGACTCTGCTCCAGGGCGATGGCCTCGGCAGAGTGCTTGCACTTCTCAGAGCCACACTGGCAGGTGAAGTACTTGCTCTTGATGTCCCAGAATCGGTCACCATAGTCAAACCTGGCAAAGGAATACAGGAACTCTTGGCACATGGATATCTAAATACTCAGAACCCATTTCAAACAATGCTGGGAGCCCTCTCTCTAGGAGGGATCCATTCACTTCTACCCAAAACACTCCTCCAGATGGACTCTAGATGGGGTCCTTGTAGGGTCTGCTGAGTCATGCTACCCCAGATCTGTTATAATGCAGGCTTTTGGCCTCCCAACCCTGTCAACCAGAATATCCTGAGGCTATACTGTGGGAGGCAGGATGGAGTCCAGGGCCTCACACACTTTGCACATACTCAGACATTCAGCTAAAACCTGCAAACCCGCCCCTGCCCCTTGCCTTTCTGGATTTGTTTTTTTGAGACAGGGTTTCTGTATATAGGCCTGGCTGGTCTTGAACTCAGAGAGATCCCCCCCTCCACTTAAGAAGTAGAATGAAAACCATTATCTGGCCCCTCTAAATATGAGGCCAAGGTTTTACTAAATTACTTAGGCTAGCCACCGGTGGTTACTTCTGCCTGGACCTCAGGGTGGACTAGATAGGTGTGTCACACCAAGACAGGCTGGGCCTTTTTCTTTTGAGACAGGGTCTCACCCTACAGCTCAGACTCTTTGCTCCTCCTGCCTCAGCTGCCTGAGTGCTGTGATTATGGGTATAGCCAGCACACCCGCCTCACACTGTTTTAACAAGCCCTCTAAGGGACAGTGAAGGCTGGTCAGTTTCCTCTGGTCTGTGGATACCAATACCCTCAACCCTCAGGCCTTAGCATTTTGGGAGCCCCTCACCCCAGCTCCTCCCCAGTCCGGATGTCCCTGGAACTGAAGAAGGCAATGCGTGGAAATCGCAGGTCTTGGTGCAGCATGAAGACCCGGACAGGGATGATATTGGGGTCACACAGGTGGTTGATGAAGCGGCTGATGTTGCCATAGTAACGGGCATCAATGCAGTAAACCTCTCCATCCTGGGTAGGGACAGTGCCATTAATACTCACCTCTATTTACCTGCCTGGCTAGTTTTCCTGCAGTGACACCCAGTCTCTCCACCCAGGTTTCCCCTCACCAATGTGGGAGTAGAGGACACAGTTGCCACCTGCCCACCTTGTTGTCCAAATCGAAGAGGTAAGAGTCATCTTCTCTCACATCAGCTTCAGCGTCAGAGATCAGTTCTCCAACATACCTGATGGACAGACAGAAACTATGGTTCTGATCGTGAGTAGGGCTCCAGGCCCCATCTCTCTTCCAGCTGTCCCTGTGAGCCTCTTCCACCTCTCAGCAGTAATCGGTAATCACAGCAAGCCACCAGTCACTGCTGGGGCCAGGGTAACAGGGATACAGGACACAGTCCAGCCACTAGGGGTCCCACTGTACAGCTGGAACAGCAGGTGAGGCTCTTGCCTTTAAGATCAGCAGAGGCATGGTGGGCAGTGATGGGGGAGGGTGTGAGCCTGGAGCGGGCTGTGCTCTGTGGATTAGTATCCATGGTGGCTGTCTGGGTGGAAAGATGCCAGACTCAGACACAGGGAGGTAGGTGTGTGCACCAGGGACTATCCCACAGTAGAGCAGGACAGTGCGAAGTTGAGAAAACACAAAGGAAAGAAACTGGTCTTGGGAGCTGGTGAAGAGGCTTCTCTGCTGTAATGGCCAGAGGGAGACCTTGGCAAGTCTCAGGGCCAGCAGGGAGGACATGGACAGGAAGTAGCTATTCTCCACTTCATAGGAAGACAACCAAGGATGAAAGAGGTTAAACAATGTGGCCAAGGACAACAGAGCAGAGCCCAAACCAAGGTCTGTTGACCGCTGGCGTTCACCACGGCTAGGCATAATGTAGACATCTGGAAATATATTTGGTGGGTGACATGATAGAACAAGGAGCTCTAGGGTCCAGGCAGAGTGGATGCTGGTAGGAGTCAGGAAGGTGGGGGTGGGGTGTTGAGGTTCAGCCAAGCCCTCAAGCAAGAAGGTCCCCAGAGTGAACTTACTCGCAGATGAATGTGCCCTGGGGAATGGTCTGCAGGGCACGGACCCCCCAGCCCATCTTGGCTGTCCGGTAGAGCTGCAGCCGCACCCTAGAGGTGGAGAGGAGTCATACTGAGTGTGTGACACCTGGAAGGGCCCCGGGGGGGATGGGAGGCAGAGGTGAGGCAGGGTGCCGGGGCGGGCGCCTCACTTGATGCCGCTCTGCACCACGCGGTTCTTGCAGCTTCTCCAGCAGGAGCATGCCTGGTTACACTCAAAGATCAGGGGGGGTTCGATCTTGTTAAACTCCTGAAGCAGCCGCCCGTCCTGGGTTGCGGAGGGAGGGGGACAGTGGTTTCTCTGTGGGGCCTGTTTCAGCTGCCCGGGACCCAGAGGACTCCACCGGAAAACTCCATTCTGACCCCAGCCCAGAGTGAGGTGGGGTGGGGGGGAGGGGTGCAGAGTCTGCAGGTTGAGGTCAGAGACCAGGAAGTGTGCAGGCAGGCGGGTATCAGAGGCCATTTGCATACACCTGAGCAGAGGCCTGCTACATTCCTGGCAGGGTCCCAGAACTTCCTGCCACACCCTGAGTCTCTTCCCCAACAGAGCAGGGTCCTGGCTCCTTTGTGGGAGTGGCCACTCTTGGCCAGGCGAGGGACACGCACCTTGTCATACCAGCATCGGATGCTGAGCTGGCCACACAGACAGTTAGAGCTGGAGCAGTCGTCCACACACGTGCAGTGCTGGGTGGGGCATAGTCAGTGTGAGTGGGATTCATTCACCCTGCTGTCTCTCAGCGGCAATACTTATTGCCCCTCAGCCATGGGTCCATGTTTCAGGATAGTGGAGGGTGACGGTCCCAGGGTGAGGGGAATCTCCATGCCCCCCTACCCCATGTGGAGGCAGCCCCCATCAGGTTCCTTTCAGTTCCTGCTTCCTCAGCCAGGTGACCCTTGATGGACACAGTCCAATTCTGCTCAGTGTGGTTAAGTGTCTCTGCAGGCACTTGGGGCCCGTGACTCACCTGCAGGTGAGTGATGTTCCGGTCGATGTTCATTGTGGATGTCTCACAGTTCTCGGAGATGTATTTATAATCCTCAGGGCACGGCTCCCCATCCACACCATTCACACAAGGGATGGGCACATTCTCGTAGCCTCTAGCAACATCCCTGCAGAAGGGACAGAAAAGGCTAAGCCAGAGCCAGAGTACATCTCTGTTTGTTTTTCAAGACTGGGTTTCTCTGTAACTTTGGAGCCTGTCCTGCAATTCTTTGCAGACCAGGCTGACCTCAAACTTAGAGACCTGCCAGCCTCTGCCTCCCGAGTGCCGGGATTAAAAGTGTGCATCAGCAGGCTGACTCCCTTACCCACTGAGGGTCTCACTGGCAGAGCCCTTTATTTCCATTTGCCCAACAATTCTTGGGACATCCTGCACCTCTGCGGGGCTCTGGGACTGACCAATGTGAAATGGCACGTGGTTGTGGATGCCAGGGCTGCACTTACCGGCAGATGATCTTCTCGGTGCGGACAGCTCGGTTCCCCACCCCGAGCCTGAGCTTGCGATTGAGTTGCAGTGCAAACCACACATCAGAGCGCTCTGGAGTCAGATCCCATGCTGTGTCCCCTTCCTTGTTCCGAAGCTCAGGGTTGGCGCCACGAGACAGGAACAATCTGAGGAGAGACCAAAAGCCCATGCCTAGGTCAGAGACTGGGCAGCAGACACGGGCACTAAGGGCTGGGGAAAGCTGAGGCTTACAGAACACAGTCATGGTAGCTCTCCCTGGCAGCGATGTGTAGGGGTGTGTCCCCGTGATAGTTGACAGCATGGAGGTCGCACCGGGCATTCAGGAGGACCTCAGCAATGGCGGCACTACCGGTAAAGGAGGCCCAGTGTAGGCAGATGTTCTCCTCCTGTGGAGGTGATGGGGCAGAGAAGGGGGTTCAAGGTGACTTTGTACAGCACCCAGTCCCACTACAACTGGCCACCAGCTCTCTCAGTGCCCTAGAGTGCCTCCTCACGTTGTCAGTCAGGGTGACATCAGCACCCCGAGTCAGCAGCATTCGGATCACATCTATGTGTTTGTGCTCGGCTGCCCAGATGATAGGTGTCCAGCCCCCGCTGTCCTGAGGGAGGGGAGGAAGAAAGGAATGAGGACCAGGCATGCGGGGTAGAGAACAGGATCTCAGGAGCACCTCCTCAGACTGTTAGACAGAAGTGCACGCCCCCCCCCCCCCATGTACAGGGGACCTCAGAGTTCCATGAGGCAAAGACAGGAGAAGGG